CCGAGCCTGGTTCTGCTGGAGGTTTCTTCCTCATTTCCTCTCCACTGTTGCTGCCTGGAAGCTCGGTGTGAGGGATTGCTGAATAGACACACTGCAAGTATCTAATTTCTCCACATGCTCATTCAGAGGAGGTAAATGCTCCAAAGTCAATGACTGGATGCAATAAACTTGTTTTTCTTAGATATAAAACTTTTAAGCAATCTGAAAGAATGAGCTGCCCCAATGGTTTTTGAATTGGTGTGATATAAAAATGAATTGAGTCCAGTTTAATTTAAGCAATTTTTATAAATAATTGGTATATATTTTTTTAGTAGTACCTTTAAAGTTTTTTTTTTATGTAAATCCTTTTAAAAGCCACGCATCCTTTGCCACATTTTGTTGGACTATCACATACAACACACTGAAGTTTATTCTTTCATTGTGGCAAAATAAAAGGAAAAAACGTTCAGGCGCATTTTTCAGGCACCTTAAATGGGGGCCTGTTGAGCCCTGAGCAGCAATCCCTGGAATGTAACTGTCAGGCAAGTCTGGGCAGTGATTGGCCTGCTAGCAAAACAACCATCATTCAGGCACCGACACAAATTAAAAATAGTCATACAGAAAAAAAAAGCGGACAAAATGAAATAATCTAATGTCATGTAAAGGATATTGTCTGATAAGGGCGTCTACTTCCGTCTCGTCAGGACCCAGCTGATTTTCTCCTCCATCCTCTTCGTCCACAAATTTGTTCTCGTCGTATTCATCCACGTCTACTCGCCGAAAGCGTGCCGACACTGTGTTCTTCGACATGTTCGATGCTATTTAAATGTGCAGCTCCGAATCAAAGGGAGACTATTTTGAGCTCAAATCGGCCGTTAAGATAAAATACTTCCCTGTCTGTTTGAAGCTGCTGTCATAAAGAGGAAGGGAGACGGCTCCTGACTGCTTCCTCTGTTTTCCTATGATGTGTGTGTTCGCTTCACCATAGTGTCAGTACTGCCCCCTACCGGCTAGAGCAGGTGGCTCCAAGTAAAAAGTGTGAGACTGTAAATTTGACGCTAGAGGGCGCACAAACTCCAAATATGAAATGAGCAACCGGAACAAGCGATGATGCTTTGATACCTCTCAAAAATGTAATTCAAATCATTTTATTTCTTCTATTTTTTGTGATAGTTATAGGTTACAAATAATACTAATAATAATAATAGTAATCTTAATAAATAATAATAATAATTATTATTATTATGACTTGATAATTTTTTTTAAGTTATTGCTATAATAAAGATAATGCACTACCTATGTTATGGCGTTATTTAGGGCTACTCCACTCATTAATAACTAAAAGTAAAGCCATTTTATTATTTATTACTTTATATCTATAAGCTTTTATGATAAAAACAAATTGCTATAGTTTTTTCATTGATTATTATTATCTATCCACCATTCAGTGTCTCAGGAAAACATACTATAAAACCGTATAAAATCAATATAAAAATTTAATTATATTGAAACAATGTCTGAGTTCTGGAAGGTGTGTTAATTTCTATGTGCTGAATGTTTGGTTAGGCCTCCTTAATGAATGCATCAATAGAGTGTTGCATGGAGGCAACCAGGTTGTGTAGCCATTACCAAGTAGCATTTATTCAAATAAGAGTAAAAGATATTTGGCTGAATTGCAACTCAAGTGCCTAATATTTGATTTTAATGTCTGAGTTATTTCTTTGATTAGAAATTATACATCTATCCATCCATTTTCCGTCACGCTTATCCAGAGATGGGAAGTAACAAAGTACAAATACTTCGTTACTGTACTCAAGAAGATTTTTCTGATAT